TATTTTTTTTTTTTAGAGGTTTTTGCTATAGGGCGTGTGAGCTTGCCAGAAAGACAGAGAGAGACAGAGAAATAGAAAGCAAGAAATCACCTCCCAGGGGGCATGGCCACACCGTAATCCCTTCTCCTCCATTCTCCTCTCAGGATCTTGGGCACTCATGCACACGTGCCCAGTGTGAGTTTAAGCCACCGGGTCTGGGACTCGAACTGTGGTCAACTACATGGGAGTTCAGCGACATAGCCATTACACTAACTGTTGGTCCCAATTAAGAATTATTCTAATGAACTGAACAGAGGAGAGTTATTCATAGACAGATCAGGGCCAAATAAAATGAATAAACAAAGATTGGTCCATTCCAGTTTCATTTCCTTGTAAATTAGAAATAGGGAGACATTAGGAAAATAACTGATTGTTTAATATCAAAGTACTTCATGTTACTTTTTTAGTGTAAGGATTAAAACAGAAAGAGCTTCATTATCATGCCAATTGAAACTGGCCTGTTTGAGAGAACTAGTCTCTTACTTCTCTCTCCTGATTTCTCAGAAGATCATATGAAAACTTAGTTTTGGCATGATGATGGTAATATGAGTGACTCCATTTTGATTTTAGTTTAGGCTGTTGAGGCTTAGTGTAAGGAATTAGTCTAAAACAATGGCCTCCTATAATTTTTAATACTTCTCTTTTATTCCCAATTTGTGATTCTCTTAGCTTTATATGCAACCTCCATGCCAATGTCTAGACAATTTACTTTTCTAACCCGTCCTTTTCTGAACTTCATGTTCATATATACAGCTAAATGCTTAATATCTTTGCTTTAATGTTCAATGCTCTTCTGAAACCAACAGCTCCAAAATCGAACTACTTCCCCTTACCCACTCTTCTCTACTCACAGCACAGCATTCCCTAACTCACTTAACCACTCTTCTAGTTGTCCAGGCCAGAAGACTTGGATTTATTCTTAACTCTTGTATTTTTCTCAGCAAATCTTGGCTCTATTCTACAAATGTATTCAGAATCCAAAATTTCTTACCACTACCACTGCGCTCATCCTGACTCAAGTCATAATCATTTCTCGTCTGGATTACTTTAACCAGTTTCCTGAGTTCTATTCTTGCCCATCTATAATAAATTCTCTATGCAGAAGCTGGAAAGATAGCTTTAAAACATGGATCATTTTACTCTACTGCTGAAATCATGTGTGATTATTAATTTTATGTGTCAACTTGACAGGGCTAAGTGATCCCCGGATATTTGGTAAAACATTATCTCTGGTTGACTCTTTGAAGTTCTTTCCAAAAGAAGTTTAATCAGTAGACTGAGTAAAAAAGAGTTTCCTTGCAATTGAGACCCTTTTATTACCAGCACTCTGCATTATGGCATAGTTTTTTATTTTTTAAGTTCTGCGATAGGGTATGAGTGCTCATCAGAGGAAAGGAAACAAAAATCACCTCTCTGGGTGGGTGGCCATGCTACAATTTCTTCTTCTTCATTCTCCTCTCAGGATTTTGGATATGCATGTACACACCCTAGGCATGATTTTCAAGCTGCTGAGTGGGACTCAAACTACATTCAGCCATATGGGATCTGGCGTCTAAAACTCCACGCCACCTGCTGGCAGCCATCTGCTTTCTTAAGACATACATTTGTTCCTTACTTTCTTAGTTGCTTTCTTAGGCACATTTTCCTTGACATTACATGTGTACTCTTATAGTTAGTCAAGTAATCATTAAGCTGTAACCTTTCCCTAAGCACAGAGATGAGTAAATATGAAGTTAAGCTATTCCAGAACTAGATGTAGACTTAAGTGATTGAGAGACTTTCTCCCAAAAACCAGATGGAGGTAACATCTTGTGTTGGCCTGGCCCTAAGACTGCCCGATACCAGGCTGATGGATTAGAAACACCTGGTTTTCCCTCTGCCTCATTTCATGTACCCATACCCATAGTTTTGCCTTCCAATAAACACCCTGAAGTCCCTGCTGTTCAGAAAGGCAGTTTTTGGAGAACCTCTAGCTCTGCAGTCCTCCTAGACAGGTTTCTTGTTGATAATAAATCTTTCTCTGTGAAAACACCATTTGTTGTCTTAACTTCTGCTTTTGAGCAATGAGTGGTTAGACCCAGCTTTTGATAACACTCTTAGCAATGTGGTTAAACATTATTAATCCATTGAGGACCTAAATAGAACAAAAAAGACAAAGGAAGGGTCATACACACGCACACACGATATTTTAAAAGTTCATGGGAAATGTGTATTATGAAAAAACTATAAGTGGATTTTATGTTTCCTTTTTTAAAAATAATTATCTAATTTTATTTATTATTATTATTATTATTATTTTAATTTGCTGCAGGGCATATGCGCTCACCAGAGAGAGAGAGAGAAAGTGAGAAAGTAAGAAAGCAAGCTGCAGGTCTGGGATGAGAACCATGGCTGGCCATGTGGGAATCCGATGCCTTAAACACCATACCACCTTCTGGACCCCCCTTTTGTAAATTACAAAGCATCTTCTAATACTTTGGGGGTGAGTTACATGGGAATAACAAACACTGAGAAGAGGTAACTCCCTCAGCCTCAGGAGTGACCCATGGGGAGAGAGGCTACCTGAGAAAAAGGAAGTAAAAAAGAGACCCTCTGCAGACTCAGGGCAAAGGGACCTGTGGACACCACAGGAGGAAACACAAGTATTGGACTGGCTCCAGGGACACAGACTAAGAGCAAGAGGATTGTACAGGAAGCCACAATGCTGCTTGGGTTTCTCCTTTACGTTTGCCTGTTTCTGCTTCTGCTGTATGATATCTGGGTCCCTCTGCCTGTCAGCAACAGTAGAAAGCCTATCATCTAGGTCTTTTCTTAACTGAGTCACTTGCTTTTTCATATCCTTCTGGCAGATGAGCTCACGCTGGTTACTGGGGGTCATGGCTAGGACAATGGTTTGGTCGGCCTTTGTTGCACCCCCTCATTCTGTCCGTCTTTGCACTTATGTTTCTTGTTTTGTGCCAGAATAAACTCACACTTTTATTCTGTTTTTGTTTGTTTGTTTTTCTTTCTGAAGTCCCTTGAATGGCTCTATCCTGTTGGTTCTGCTTCCAGGAGAACCCTCAGTAATGCATCATATAAATGTATTCCGCTAGACTGAAAGCTCAAGACCCTTCCTCCATATATATAAATATTTTTTCCAGTTTTGCTGTAGGATGTGTACACTCATTGGAGAGATACAGAGAGAGACAGAGAGGAACAGAAAATGAGAAATCACCCTTCTGAGGGGTGACCACTCCCCAATCCCTTCTACTTCATTCCTCTTTGAATTTTAGTTACGCAGGCAAATGTGCGGGCACTTTTCAAGCTGCTGGATCTGGGATTCAACCCAGGCAACTGGCCATGTGGAATCCAGCCACCTTAACCACCATACCATCTGGCTGGTCCTCCCCACACATTTTTTACTCCTCTCCATCTTTTTTTTTTTTTTTTTGGAGAGATTTTCACTGTAGGGTGCGTGCGCTCGCCAGACAGACAGAGAGAGACATAGAGACAGAAAGCGAGAAATCACGCCCCAGGGGGGATGGTCATGCTGCAATCCCTTCGCCTCCATTCTCCTCTCGGGATCTTGGGCACACACGCACATGCGCCCGGCGTGAGTTTCAAGCCACTGGGTCCGGGACACGAACTGCGGTCGACTACGTGGGAGTCCAGCAACATAGCCATTACGCTAACTGCTGGTTCCCACTCCTCCCTATCTTGATCTGCTTCAGTCACTCTGTCTTCCTTACTGTTCTTTGAACACAAGTGACATAATCTTGCCATAGAGCAGGTGTTTTGCTACTTCCTCTTGCCTGAAATAATCCTCTAGGTGAGGTCTAAATACAACACAGGGATGACCAGCAGGTGGCATGAAAGTTAAGGTGGCTGGATCCCACACGGCTGACTGTGCTATTCATGATAAGAGTGGCTTGAAAAGACCCAGTGCATTGAAAATCACACTGGG